CATTGTGTGCAAATATGCATTTCTTTTCCCTCTTCACGTTTCGTTAATTTTCTCTGCTGCTAAAGAAACTCTTAAGCTTCTTAAAAGTCCTCGTCAGTACTCCTAACAATTTTGGACCTTAAGAGCTCTTTTAAGGGTTAAGATGCTTTCTGAATTACTTTCTTCTTTACTAGGATCTTTTCTTTAATTTTAAGAGGAAACACCCACATTTCTAAGATCTTTCTTAGAATTTTGTCACTAAGAGTAACTCTTTGCACTAAGAATTTTGATGAATACGGGCCCAGACCGTTTATTCTAAACAATAAAGGAAAATTGTATGTCTCATGCGCGGACTACAAAAACTTAAGCAAGAGTCAAGCCTTATTCCATACCATTTTCTTTACAGAACCAGTTTGCCCTGGTACTCATTACTGACGTGGAGGAAAAAGAGGATTCTGGCAGGTTTTGTGAGAAGGGTCTGGCTGCAGCCTTGCGCTTGCACTCTCAGACGTGCATTCTCAGGCTTGCACTCTCAGACACTTGCGCTTCTGCTAGCGAAGTCACTTGCAGTCTTTTTTATTTTTTATTTTGTTATATTTATTGATTACTTTTTGTTTGAATCTCTCAACATTTTACAACAGTAGCCAGGTGGTGAAGACAAGAAAAAAGAAACCAAATTACGAAGTCACTTGCAATCGCCACTTGCACTCTCCGATACCTGCGACGTCACTTGCAATTGACACAAATCGTGCGTGTTGCCAATGGAGACAAGACGCTGTGGTGGTGATTAAACGATTAAAACTAATTTTATACTATAACATACAGGGTCCTTCAAGAAAAAGACAAGACCCGCAAATCTGTGGCCACAGAACAGCAGAATATGAACGCAATGCACAAAGTCTCTCGTTAAGCGTTTTCCTCCTGTAGAAAAACATAAACACTTAATATGGCTTAATGTATTAAGATACATTAAGTGCAATTAAAAGATAAAATTCGATATATAGTTATTATTTCATGTACTACAAGACAAGCAGATGGCCATGAACACAATGAGCAAACTTTCACTTGTCCTCCCATACAGCAAAATGCTTAATGTGGCATAATAACGGATGATAAAGACCATTCAGTAGCCTATATGTCTTGTATGAACATGCATTATGAAATGCATTTCGTGCCCACCTCCGTCTGTCAGTGGATCAACAGCTTCCTGACAGACAGCTGATTCTGATTAAGTGATTTTAAAAGGATCAACTCCGTACAGGCAAGCAGACGAGCCCAGAATGCAATGCATTAAATTGCACGTTAAAATTTTTCCTCCCGAAATCATTATAAATAAAACACGTAATGTAGCTTAATGGACATAGACAATGGTATAAAAGAGCTGTAGACAGTTTATTCTATATGGAAAGACGCTTAACGCGAAACTTTGCGTGGTGCGTTTATTCTGGGCTCACCTGCTTGCCTGTATATTAGTTATGTAGGCCAGTGTTTCCCAACCTTTTTTTAGTCGCGGCACCCTTTGAAAATTTTAACAAACTTGTGGCACCCTACAAAATTAATTTTGTCACAATATTTGAATTTCTAACTTTGATATGATAATTTGAAAAGTATAGATATTCGGTGCAACAGGGAAGAACTGCAGAATATAATGTCATACAGATATTTTTTATATTATTAAAAAATGTTGTCCATCAATGGTGATAATCAGTAGGCTAATTTCTAATGAAGAGACCAATTTATGTGACAGATTTTAATGTAGGCTTTTATACATATGTAAACATTATTTAATTACCATTATAATAGCTATCTCACAAATTTTTGCTCACTCAGTGTTTTTTTTTTATTTTACAGTGGGATAATTTTGGTGCAGTAGCACGAGATAGCTTGATTTCAAACTTTGAATTGAATAAAAAATGACAAGTAAGCAGTCAGTAATAAAATAAGAACAAATAAATTAATTAATAATGATAGCACAAATAAAAAATAATGACAGGCCTTTGAATTAAATAAATTGCTTTTTAGTTTTTCAGGTAGGTCTAACAGTAGGGGTAAGATATTGAACTTTTTTTTTTAAATTTTTTCTACCAATTACCCAAATAATGTTTAGTCCTAGAAAGCTATTATTATCAGAGGACACGTGAGCATAACATAACGGTTAGCAGATCAATGAATGAGAGGGCAGCGTTACCAGAGTTGCCCATATACCACACCATGTTACAACACAGTAGGGCTATTGCAGACAGAAACAATACTGTACTACATCGATGTTTCCTCTCGGCTCAATGTTTGAGTGGACTTTGCTGTTCCGATGAGCATGAACGGTATACGAGTGGAGCGACTGAGCGGAGCGCACACGCATAGAGCGGAATAATACGCAGAGCGTCACACCACGTGAAAGTAAAATTTCGGTGCATCTCTAATTATTGCCGACATCAGAAATAGATATTATATAATAGATGCTCTTTTGAACATTTTAGCAATTTAAAAATATTAAAAATATATTTTTTACACGGCACCCCTGCTCTCGACAGACGGCACCCCGGTTGGGAAACACTGCTGTAGTCTATATTTTAATAATGAAGAGCATTGAGTTTGGTCTTTATCATCTTAGTCCATTATGCCACATTATGCCACGTTTTGCGGTGTGGGAGGAAAATACTATATACATATTCATTATATTAATAAACTGTATATTGAATTTGATATTTTAATAGCATCTTAATACATTAAGCCATGTTAAGTGTTTATGTTTTTCTACAGGAGGAAAACGCTTAGCGAGAGACTTTGCGGGTCTTGTCTTTTTCTCCTACAGATGGCTTGCAGGACCTTGTACGTTATGGTACAAAATTAGTTTTAATCATTTAATCACCACCACAGCGTCTTGTCTCCATTGGCAACACACACGATTTGTGTCGATTGCAAGTGACGTCGCAGGTATCGGAGAGTGCAAGTGGCGATTGCAAGTGACTTCGTAATTTAGTTTCTTTTGTCTTGTCTTCACCACCTGGCAACTGTTGTAAAATGTTGAGAGATTCAAACAAAAAGAACAAAAAAATAAAGACTGCAAGTGACGTCGCTAGCGGAAGTGCAAGTGTCTGAGAGTACAAGTCTGAGAATGCAAGTCTGAGAGTGCGAGCGTCTGCTGCCAGACCCTTTTGGGTTTTGTTGTTTGAATGGATCTGGGCTGGCGACCCAAAGCTCATGTGTACAAATCGGGAAGATCCATGAACTATTAAGAACAGGTTGACGATCAAGTTGATATTTTGTTAAAGTGACTGTTGACAGACAGAGCCATGGGAATATTTCTGTCTCTCTCAGTGAGCATAGCTGGAGCCCTTATTTTGTTCTGTAAACCCAAATGGCTCTCAGGGGACTGCACAGTCTCAGAGCAGCTCCCACGACCTCTCACCTCCTACGTCCACACACACAACAAATCAGGAGGAAAGGGGTGAAGCCAAGCAGGACTGACAGTATGTGTTCTGTTAGACTGCAAATGTTGTTGGATAACTGTTTTGTGCATGTTTTTTTACTTTTTTTAAATTCTATGACATATTCTATTTTAATGGTCCTTTACGCATTGTAAAACACAGAGGGAGTATGAGGACAGGACATCAAAATTAATCCATAATTAAATCTAATACAACAGATTCATCTGTCTGTTTAAATGTAATTGTTAGATGTTCTGTGTGTATGCGTGAGTATGTGTGTGTATGATCGCTGTGGTGTTGAACATGCTGATGACCGAGGGCTCTTGTCAGTAATTGAGCTTAATTAATTTAAGAGCCTCGGATTGATTCCAGATCTCAGAGTTTAGTCCACAGTAATGCAGGTGATGACTAACCCTGTTTTTAAAGCAGCTGGATTTATAATGTGATTCCACATAAACTAAACACTGTTCTGCTCCTGTTCAATGAGTAATTCACCCCAAAATGAAAATCTGTCATTATTTACTCACCCTCATGTTGTTTCAGTCTGCTAAACACAACAATAATTTGAAATGATCCATATTCATATATCCATTGTTTGATATTGTGTTAGAACAGTGTATGTTATATATACATTTATTTATTTATGTTACAATTAATTAAATATGGTTTAAGTCTACTATATTACAGTTTATGTAAATTGTGAAATTTGCACCTAGTAACATATTTATTGGACCACACAACTAGCTGCATTTGCATGTTTTTTCTCATTTGAATTATGCCGTTTTTATTTTTGAGTGCAGTTCTGCAGTGAATTCTGTATCATCTTCATACATTTAAGTGCTAAATTGACTATTTCCTTAAAAAAATAAGGCTTATCCCAGTGTTTATTTCAATATCCTCTCCACAATTGGCAGCAGAATTTTTTTTGTGCATGTAATAAAACCCTCAGCTACAATGACATTGTGGTCATTTTCCAAGCTAATGTTCTCCTTTCTGTGTAAATCAACTATTTTGACTTATCTTAAGATCTCTAGGACCTGCTGAAAATATTATCTTTTATTTATAGCTGCTTTGTCTATTTGGTGATTTAATCTGCCACAAGAATATCATATATTTGAACTGTTTTCATTTGAGGATTGTTTCAGCAAATATTGATATGCAGTCCATTTGATTAATCATGTATTTATTTCATTGCGTTTTTAAATCAATTGACAGCTAGTTGAAACACATCAGTTCTGAAATCCCTTTTCCCAGAGTCGTGTGGAGATGAATGTCTGTGTTTTGATCCTCACAGGAAAGTTGGGAAACAGTCAGCAAAGACTTTGAAATTCATCTGGCATTTACAGACGCAGCATTTCTGCTCTATAATCCTCTCGAACACAGTGTCTCTGGTGCACCGACATTCTGTGTGTTTGTGTGTGATATCTGTTCTTTTCTGATAGGCCTGATCTGTAATAAAATGTCATCCAGACAAATGGCTCAGTACATTTTCTGATGTGGGTTCAGAGCTTCTAGCGGCTTTATGCTTAAATATATTAGAGCTGATGCAATTAGAGAACTAATATCCTCTTTGTCTCTGTTTTGTCTGTCTAGGAACGGGTGGAGTATCTCTTTCTGATCATTTTTACGGTGGAAGCATTTCTCAAAGTTATTGCATACGGGTTGCTGTGTCACCCTAATGCGTACCTGCGGAACGGCTGGAACTTGTTGGATTTCATCATCGTGGTGGTAGGGTGAGTACAAGCTCCCGGTGTAACCTGAAGTAACCCCTGAGACATAGGAACATATGCATGCATGAGTGAGTGATCTGATCTCTGGTTTACAGTTTGAGTTATCGTAGTAATCTGACACACTTTAATAGAGAAGAATGCTTTTTGTAGGGTGTCAGTGGACAGCTTTGTTGTCTTTGCACAGAAGCTGAAATTGTGTTATGAAATGTAGTGTTTTAAATATGAAATTATAAACTTGTGTTCGTGGAACGTAAGCATGTTTATGAAACATAGCATGATTTATTACATTCTAAATATGAAAAATGTAAAAATAAACTTTCTTTAAAGTACTTTAATTGCTAAATAGGCTAAAAATATATAATTATTTATTGATATCTTTTTTTTATTTTATTGTATTTATTTTTTATCTTAATATTAGCTCTCTTATTTTAAAACACATAATGACGTCATTTATATGAACATTCAGTACTTTTCCAGGACTTTTGTTGGTTTCCCAGTAAAAGAAATGGTCAAATTCACTCACACTGCTGGTCTGAATGTCATTTCTGACAACTGGTCTGTTGCAGTTAAGCTCTATGTCTCATTTAAGTCATTTTTAAAAATAGACTTTCTTTATTTATTAAAAAAATCAAATAAAGTAGATTTATGTTTAAAACTAATTGCTAAAGAGGCTTTTCATTTTATTTTATTTTATCTTATTTTCAAATATAATATTAAATGTGCATGGTGTTGATAGCACTTATAAAAGTGTTTCAAAGTAGTGTTCACTTCCAGTAGAAATAAATGGTGTAATAAAAAAAACAACATAATAGTATGTTTTAAAAAAAAGCATTTTTTCCCCCCATGATTTTCATTTGTTGCCTACTGGGTAAAGTCAGGACTGCTTTCTTTTTCTCACTTAACAAATTTCTTAGTTTAAATTTAATGTGAAATGTAAATTGATAATGAATCGATAGCTTCCACTTTCTCTCTCTCTTTCAGGCTGTTCAGTGCAATATTAGAGCAGGCCACTAAAGGGGATGGTGGGACTTCAATGGGAGGCAAGGCTGCAGGGTTTGATGTAAAAGCCCTGCGAGCCTTTAGAGTGTTGAGACCTCTGAGACTCGTATCTGGAGTACCTAGTGAGTACACACACACACACATCTGATGACTGTTGAGTAAGTTGTCCATGAGTCAGAACTGAGAACCTGAGAGAACATGAATTTAAATAAATGTTCATTTCCTTCCTGTAGGAGGATCTGAAATTATTCGAAATGAAAACTCTATTAAGCCATTCTTATCAGCATGTGTAGGCACAGCTTTTTATTATTGTGTAGGCAAATTCATTTTTTTTTTCCTGATTGCCAGTTTTGTCCAGAATGCGAACATTCATTAGTTGTTATTATATGTCTCTCTGAAATACTTGAATCTGATTAAGCAGTCACTTTATTCTGCAGCCAAATAAGTGTAATGACTTTTAAACTGTATACTGTAATTGACCATTTGTTTTAAGCTGTTCTGGCTTCACAATGGGATCATAATTAGCTGATGACTGCACATTATCATTTTATTATTGATAATATTCTGAGTATAAACAGTTACTTTTCAGAATATAAATGCTTTACTCATAAAACAAAGAAAACCATCCATGAGAATTTTTTGATTCCTTGTGTGCTTGCAGGTTTACAGGTGGTGCTGAACTCCATCATTAAAGCCATGGTTCCCCTCCTGCACATCGCTCTGCTCGTTCTGTTCGTCATCATCATTTATGCCATCATCGGCCTCGAGCTCTTCATGGGCAAGATGCACAGAACCTGTTTTTTCTTCAAAGATGGACACAAAGGTCTGGGCTTGTATTATAAAATCTGTAGTATTTGTTCCTTCTTTGTTCTAGTCATTGGCCCCTGGTATTTACCCAGATCAGCTGACAAAATCCCGTTTTCTTTCAGGTACTATATCTGAAGAGAAGCCGGCCCCCTGCGCCCCAAGCTCCACCCATGGACGACACTGCTCCCCGACCAACATAACGCAGTGCATGATGGGATGGGCAGGCCCAAATGATGGAATCACGAACTTTGATAACTTTGCATTTGCCATGCTGACTGTGTTTCAATGCATCACGATGGAGGGCTGGACTGACGTCCTGTACTGGGTGAGTCTGCTCCAATAACGGCACACCACACCTACTGTATGACTGTATGAGCACACATGGTCTCTTTAATGAGAAAAGACACATGAATGAGGTACAGCAGGGTTAAGAATATCTCCCAGTGTCTTTAGTTAAAGATCCTAAAGGAACCCTATTTGAATTCCTACATAGAATCATAATGTAACTATAATGGGAATTTTCCTATAGGATTTCAGAGAAAATCTTATGGAACATAGGTAAAAATGCTGCTGCATAACATTTAAAGTGTTTCAAATATATTTGGGGGGATTTTATAAGCTCCCAATGTGATTGCCATTATTGATAGAGATTATTCCGAGGAGTTTTTGAAAGATTCATTCTTAGTTCCAAATTAGAATGGAAATTCTATTAGGAATCCACATTCTTTTGCGATTTATTTTATTTTATATGTATTTTTTAAATATATATATTTTTTGACTAGGTGAGTGGTGTGTATGTTACGGCTCAACAACAAGGATGACTTAATGGCTTGGGCCAGTGCTGCATCGCCACTGTAATTTTTACATTCATTGATTTTGTGCATCCATCTTTTTACCATGCGAATTTAAACCTTTGGATTTTTGTGATATATTTTACATTGAAAATATTCTGCTGATTCTTCACCAAGACAATGTTTTGAATTTGCAGAAATGACTTGTAATACAACAGTAAAAAAAGTGCTGAAAACTATCATTGATATGTTATCATATGACATTATTTTCTTGCAAAAGGGTGTTTATGAATTTATGAAGTTACATTATAGCTATATAAAACTTAGTATGAAATGATAAATATAAATATTTCCAGCAAGCATAAAACATTGCTAAAAACAAACATCAAACCTTCTAATATGGTGGGGCCACTGAAAATATTTGCATGGCAAGTAACAAAAAAAAAACTATTGGCCCGACTCGGTATCAGAAAAAGTCCTGTTGAGCCCTGTGAATGTGATTATATCACTGCTGCTCTCTAAAGATCATCTTCACTGTATCTCAGTCTTCTGCACTCTTCCAGATACTTAAAGTGATTGACGGTTTTCCTGATGACATCTTTTAATGCAGTCAAACAGACTCGGCTGAACGTCTCTCTCTCTCTCTCTGTCTCTCTCTGTCTTTCTCTCTTTTGAATTTGCTCTATGCTTCATGGGTTTTCTTGATGTTCTGGGTTTCTGAGGGACAAGCATGTGCTGCACTGCACTTGTTTCCGCTGACTGTTTTCCTCTCCTCTCCACTCTTCTTTCTTTTTCTAACTGTCCCCTCCTCGTCTCAGATGCAGGATGCCATGGGTTATGAGCTTCCATGGGTCTATTTTGTCAGTCTGGTCATCTTTGGATCCTTTTTCGTTCTAAATTTGGTTCTGGGTGTGTTGAGAACGTCAGCATTGTGTGCTGAATGTGTGTGTGTGTGTGTGTGTGTGTGTGGACAATAGAACAAGCTCTGTCTGAACTCTGATCAAACACATTTTCTTTCTCAAAGCACTGGGATTAAGCGAGCCAGAGAGGGGTTGTGTAGCACTGCCCAAGTCCAGCAGACACATACTAATTATTCATTCATCCCTTTTCAACTGTACCCCTCCATCCATCCATCCATCCCTCTCTTCCCCCGTACTCCATCCTTTCCTCCATTCCCAGGTGAATGATGCTGTAGGGAATTCCTGGCCATGGCTTTATTTTGTCACTTTAATCATCATTGGCTCCTTTTTTGTTCTTAATTTGGTTCTTGGGGTTTTAAGCGGGTAAGGGACACTCATTCATTCTCTCTCCATCTTCTTTATTTCTAACTACATTGTTATCCTTTGGGGGGCGTGTGTGTGAGAGAGCTCTGTTATCTTCCTTAGTCTTTTTTGTGTTTAAAACAAGTCTACAAGCAAGGGTCAAAAGATGTTTTGTTTGCCTTTTTATTTTTCTGTTATTAAAATGAGTTTATGAATGTGTCTTGTTCTGTTTTTTTACAAGAAATGCACCACTGTACAAAAGTTTGGGGTCAGTAAGATTAAAAAAAAAATAATAATAATAATTAGTTATTTTTTTATTAAGCAAGGACACATTAAGTTTATGAAAGGTAAAGTCATTTATAATGTAACAAAAGACTTTAATTTCAAATAAATGCTGTTCTTTTGAACTTTATATTCATCAAATAATCCTAAGCATCACAACTGTTTTCAACATTGATAATAATAAGAAATGACTGCTTTCATAATGTTCAAAAACATTAAAGAACCCCAAACTTTGAACAGTAGTGTATGTGCCCTTACAGAAGTGTTTCTAATATTTATTTGCACTTTTAATATTTTCTTATTATTACACTTTCTTTTCTAAATCAGTCTGTTTATTTTATGGGATGGATATTTAGAGGAAGTCTCTCTCTTTCCATTTCTCAGAGAGTTCTCTAAAGAGCGAGAAAAGGCCAAAGCTCGCGGTGATTTCCAGAAGCTCCGTGAGAAGCAGCAGCTGGAGGAGGATCTAAAGGGCTACCTGGACTGGATCACTCAGGCGGAGGACATCGACCCTGAGAACGACGACGAGGGACTGGATGACGACAAGCCTAGAAATCGTGAGTATAAAGAAGGGAAGCACCAGGTTGGGGCAAATTGATCTGCTCTGAGTTTGTTAGCATCTGAGACGTTTTGCAAGAGCTTTGTCCGTGCAAATTTAATATATTAATTTTAAATGCAGATGAGGACATTGAAATGTTACATTTTAGGTGTTACAGTGTTAAATGCCGACTTTTCTATTGTTTTAATTTATACTGAAAATACTTACAAATATCTACATGAAATATTGTTTCTTTTATCTCTGGTCCTTCAAGCATGATCAAGGCCTGACGTCCTATAGGCAGCTAGTCAATTTAGGCAATTTTGAGTAATATTCACTGAAAACATAAGTTTGTCTATTAGCTAGTTTTACATGTTCAGATATTATGTTTATTGTCATTACGGATACTGTATCTGTTTTATATTTGATTAAAACAAACAGCAGCTCACCTAAAATATTGATTGTGAGATTGGCTGCCAACATGCCTGCGTTTGTATTTGTAGAGCACAAAAACTTTGGAGAAAGTTAATCTTGCTTGCTGAGACAGATATACATTATTTGGCCATATTACTGCATACACAATATTTAGATATGATATGGATTGTTCCAGTTGCAGATGAGAGAAACTCACCACAAACTAAAACGTGAATGAATAGATGAATGTGTTTGTGTTTGTATTTTGGCAGGTTTTGCTATCCATATTAGGAATGACATTTTTGAAAATAAGCAAGCAGAGGCAGACCAAATGTCCTCGTGGGGGACTTTTGTCTCCATAAGGACAAAAGGTTCACAAAATGTCTAGACAGTAATCTACACTAGATAAAAAGATGTCTACACTAGACTAGAAAAAGATGCCAGTTTTAGGCTTTGTTTATATTAAGAATAATAGATGTGAATGGAAAGTCCCTGCAGGGATATGCATATATACATATACATATATATATATATATATATACAGACTTTTGTGTGCGTGTATTTGCACTTATTTTTGACACTGGTATTTCAGAGCCTCAGATTGTGTATGGTCAATCCGGCCCCTTACTGAGATCAGATAGGAAAACACTTTCACACACGTACAGTATATAGAGATATACTGTAATCCACATGCTGACGCACATCTAGTGGCACAAAATACAACTGCAGCTCAGTAATTTAACAGATTATTTATATTTTTTGTATTAACAGTAATGTTTTATGTTAAGTAATTTGTGTCAAGTGTCTTGAGTTGGTTGTGACCGCCATTCTTAGCGATAAATGTTTGGGGCAGAGAGGGCTGGTGGCATATCTCTCTCTTCCTGTCTGTCTGCGAGTGTGTCTGTCTTTGACTGTTTGAGTCTCGCTCTGTTGTTTTCAGGGAAGACTCATCGTTTACAGTACATCCGTGGAGCGGTGAAGAAAAAAGCAGCTCTGCTTCGTAAGGCGTGTGCGTCTCCATAGCAACCACGGTTTACTTTTGCTTGTTTGCATGACAAAAGTGCAACAAGCCCCCCAGACCTTTATACTGGCCCCCAGCACATCCTCCCCCCACCCAGACTGGTCAACCTGGGTACGGAGGGCGATGGGGTCTCCCTGCTCAGTTCTCTGTATTTTAGATTTCTGAATGATGACGGGCATGAAAATCTGAGGGTTTTGATATTTGGACTCACTGCGCTTTTGGGGTTGTAGAAGTCTTTCTGTTTGAAATATCTGGACTTATAGCATGTCTTTTTTTTTTCTCTCCAGGTATTTTAATCAGAATCAGGTGCTTTGTAGTAAATTTTAGTCACACATCAGGCTTCTGTTCCGATGTGATCTGCATGTGATACTTAGATAGAAACATTTCTGCTGTGCACACCACGGTTCAGATGGTTCTGTCTCTGAGGTTGTGATTTCTCTTTGACAGCCACGGTGAGATGTTAATAGAGATAGATCGCAAAGTATTGTGGACATTTTTCTCCTGACTCTTGTTGCTTCACCCCCATCTACGTGAGATTTGTTTCGAGTGTTTGCGTTATGTATTTTATCTGAAATATCTTTTAAAAAGAGGGGAAAATTACAAGAGTAATGTTCATTTCATTTTTAAATACATCAATTTTCATAGTACATCATCAGCATACTGATGTAGTCTGGATGATAATGTGTGTTTTTAACTAAGAAATAGAATTAGGAGAAAATATCAGAGCCAATGAAAATGCAGCATGGAATTTAGGCACCCTGCTTGACCCCGCCCCATGTGCATGTTAATGAGATGGAATTGTAGGTCTGCATGCTGATTGGTAGATTAGCATTGTTTTGACTAAAAAAACAGTCTTTTACATGATGTATTTGGGTAAGTTTGTCCAACTTTGGTTTGTTTTGTTTTGAAATCTGAATGAACCCATCCAAAAAACATCTGAAAGGAACCCATTCAAATCATTAAGTGTTTATGCTGTTGGTTTGAGGTCTAGTTTAATAAAGATTGATTCATTGGTTCAACTCCCATCACACACAGTATGTGTGTGTTGATGAAATGTGGTATTCTATTCTTTTCAAACTCTTTTTGGGGCAGACATTCTCACATATGGTCCACATCTGAGCATGGATATGAATGAAAGGTTGGCTTGGCTGTCATCAAGACTGTTGAGTCTGTTTAATAAGAACTGGCTCAGTAGCAACTTTCTCGAATTTTTTTTTATTTATTCAAACTCTTTTTCTTCCTACCTGTTTAACAGGTCTAATTTAGCATGTTTTTATATTACGATTTTACTATAGTTTTGTCCTTATGACAAAACTGAATTTGTGATTTGGTTTTTTTATTTGCATATCAGTGACAAACAGCTTTGTTTTTTTGACACATCATATACAAAACGATCTAATCTCTGTTTCTCATTGAAACTGCACCTGTCACAGTCAACAAACACATTGTGATTTAGCTCATGATGTATTCTTTTTGGTGGCTTGCTGTGAAGAATATTTCACATATGTTCTAGAGAGAGAGAGAGAGAGAGAAAAGAAAACTCCTTAGATGAATGCAAAAGGTCATGGCAGATGTTTTCTTTAGTAAACGGTTTGTCTTTGAATCACACATCAGTGAGATTATTGTCCTTGCAGTTAGACTTATGCATTATGTTTTATGTTCTATGTTAAAACTCCATTTTATTTACTTGCCAAAGCCTGTTTTTACTCACATTTGTCATTTGGTAAGTGTTAATTTTGAACCCTGATCATATCTGCTGTCAGTGTAAAAGCTTAAGTAAGGGTTCTTTAGAGGTTGAAAGTCTTTGTGTGTGTGTGTGTGTGTGTGTGTGTGTGTGTGTGTGTGTGTGTGAGAAACCAGCCTTTGATGAGCAATGAGTATAATCTTTTGCTGGGAATTCATCGCACTCTCTCTCCCTCTCTTTCCCTCTCTCTCGTGCAGTGAGTATACCGGCCAGTGAAAATGAGTCAGTGAACACTGATAATGCTCCCGCTGGAGACATGGAGGGAGAGACCTGCTGTACTCGCATGGCGTAAGTCCCCAAAGCATCCCGTTCCTCCTCTTTTCTCCTCCTCCTTCTGTTCTCCTTCCTGATAATCTCTTCTCCTTTTCCTCTAATTCCGTAATTACATTTCTATTTCCCTCCATGTTTAATTCTCTTCAGACTTATGCTTTTCAGTATTCAGACATTTACAGAGATCTCAGTTGTAAGGTTGAGAGCTAGTTTTAAATGGTTTTAGGAGTCCAAGTTAATGCCAGTGAACTCAGCAGGGCTCAGTGGGCGGCTCCCGTGATCTTCATTGTGTTTTTTTCTTTTTTCTCTGTGCATCTGTTGCTGTCATCTGTTTTCCAGCTGATCTGCCCCGTTAGTGATCAGTGTTTTGTGTCACAAACACAGACAGGAACATTTATGCAATACACAGCCATAACAGTAATTATGTACAAACATTCCCACAGATATTGAAAATATGTAACCAGTTAAATAATAAGAACTGTTTAATTTCTCATAAATATGAATGTATACTGCAAGTTGAATGTAACAAAAATGTTTCCTGAAAACAGTAAGGCAATGCAGCACTCAGTGTCTATCTATCTATCTATCTATCTATCTATCTATCTATCTATCTATCTATCTATCTATCTATCTATCTATCTATCTATCTATCTATCTATCTATCTATCTATCTATCCCCCCCAGTTCTGCTGTCTCTGTGGAAACACTGTCCTTCATGATGTTGTGTCTGTTCTGTATGTATAATACATTCTGTTTTCCATTCCAGAAATAGGATCTCCAAATCCAAATTCAGGTTAGTACATTACATACCGCTGGAAGGCGAGGCTGCCTTCCTTACTGCTCTTCATATATATATGTGTGTGTGTGTTTTGTGTGTGTTTGTTGTGTTTCGATGCCAGTGTTGTGTTTTGATCATCACGGTTGCCCTCTAATCAGTGGCTGAACATCCATTAACAAGTTTAGACTGCCAGTGTTGTTCAGGTTAGATTTGTTTGCTATAGATGCCAAAAGAATTGAGAGCAGCAGCATTTCCAATCACTGCCAGTACACACACACATAGTTGTTATGTTTCCAGATAGTGCATTTAGTGAATACTGAAAGGATGTTTATCCCGGCTGGTAAGAATGGTGTCAGATTGTACAGACTTTGAATTTTGCACGTTTTATATGATATTTCTCTCTCTGTTTCTCTGTCTCTCTCTTTGTATTTGCAGTCGATATTCACGCCGATGGAATCGGTTATGTCGGCGCACGTGCCGTGCAGCAGTGAAGTCAAATGTGTTCTACTGGCTGGTGATTTTCCTGGTATTTTTGAACACGCTTACCATTGCCTCTGAGCACCACCAGCAGCCAGACTGGCTCACCAATGTACAAGGTACACAACACTACAATACCGTACATACTTCAATATACAATACTGTTGCTACTAAAATAAACAACAATGCAGCCTTGAGCGGTCAAATATTTAGTGTACGTGTGATATACTTCATATTTTGATTAGTTGTCCTTGGTGAAGCTACTTTTATGACTTCCATATCTCGTATCTCTCAGAGCTCAGCAGTGACCATCCAATCCCATAAAACCCCATCAAATATTGTTGCGTAAATTGATCTCAGAACCTTGGTTTGATTTGTCTATACTGAAGAACTTTGTACACACTTTGTGTTACACCTTGTAACACTATATTAGTTTTTTCCCCCAGACACACTCAATGTACAGAACTGTTCATAAGATTTTAAGATAAGATTTTTTTAATGTTTTAGTCTCTTATGCTCACAAAGGTGGCGTTTATTTGATCAAGTGAAAACAGTAATATTGTGAAATATTATTGTAATTTATAAACTATTACTTAAAATGTAATTTATTCCGGTGATGGATCAGTTGTGCAGCTTAATATCTTTTTGGAAGCCATGATACATTTTTAACATTATAAAATGTATTTACTGTCACTTTTGATCAATTTAAGTATTAATTAAAGTATTTAATTATTTATATTTATTTTAAATGATTGTAACACAGTTTGTGCTGAATAAGGTGTAATCAGACTTTACCCATTAATATGTTTATAAGAAACTGAAAAAAAAAAACACGCTATTGTCAGGGCATGTCAAAACTTCTTCAGGGCAAAAAACACTCTCAGACCTCAGAGGGTTAAAAAAAACTGTAGTGAACAGCTTTTCAGGTCTCTGTGGTGTATAAATCTCATAGTGAATGGATGTGTTGTTTCTGTGCTTACAGATATCGCCAATAAGGTGATGCTGGCTCTTTTTACCGGTGAGATGCTGCTGAAGATGTACAGCCTGGGCCTACAGGCCTATTTCGTCTCCCTTTTTAACCGCTTCGACAGTTTTGTGGTGTGCGGTGGAATTCTGGAGACTATCCTGGTAGAGACTAAGATCATGTCGCCCCTCGGCATCTCTGTGCTGCGCTGTGTGCGTCTGCTCCGCATCTTCAAGATCACCAGGTATGTGTTAAAGTCATGTATGTTTCATTCATTGTGGGGTGTGACTTTGTATTAATGCTGACTGTCCTCTCTCAGGTACTGGAACTCTCTCAGTAATCTAGTGGCGTCTCTGCTGAACTCGGTGCGCTCTATCGCGTCCCTGCTTCTGCTACTCTTCCTGTTCATCATCATCTTCAGTCTGCTCGGAATGCAGCTCTTTGGTGGCAAGTTCAACTTTGACGAGACGCGCCGCAGCACCTTCGATAACTTCCCCCAGTCTCTCCTCACCGTCTTTCAGGTTCTGCCACAGTCTGAACCACAGCAAACACTCTTCATGTGTCTTCAAACCTGACTCATGTTTGATTTGGATTTATTTTCTGATTGTAGATTTTGACCGGAGAGGACTGGAACTCTGTGATGTTTGATGGGATCATGGCGTACGGTGGGCCCTCCTTTCCTGGCATGCTTGTCTGCATTTATTTCATCATCCTCTTCATCTGCGGAAACTGTATCCTAAAACCTGTTTAACACAACATTATGTGACAAAATAAAAGAGTTCATTATAAAACAGATATTTCTGTTCCTGAACTCTAAACAGACATCCTCCTGAATGTCTTCTTGGCCATTGCCGTGGACAACCTGGCAGACGCAGAGAGTCTGACATCAGCGCAGAAAGAGGAAGAGGAGGAGAAAGAGAGGAAGAAGCTGGCCAGGTTCAATGACTCACAGTTCACATGAGTGCAATACTTTGAGGTGGTCTGAGGTCCCGTAAAACCTTTCTATAAAGATTTCCTGCCCCCTGCCTAATGAGCTCATTAAGTGTATCAGTTATGACTTCATTAGTTTAACATTGAGGAAATTAAGGATCATTTTGCAGAAGTGTTTTTGTCCCTCTGAAGAGCTGTAAATACAGGTGCTTAGTGGGACCGTAAAGCTGCAAACGCACACATTCATGACGCAATTTCTGTCTTACAGAACGGCCAGTCCAGAGAAGCGCCAGAACTCTGAGAAACCACCTCTGGAGGATGAAAAGAAAGAGGAAAAGATTGAACTAAAATCCATCACTTCTGATGGAGAGACACCAACTGCTACCAAGGTCACTAGCAAGAGGCCACATAGAAACACAGATTAAGGGAACAGATTAATAGCAATATAGTGCACACAGCCTGGAGTGGCGACGGTGGCAACAAAAACATTATAAAAGACACTAATCTTATTGTTTATTGTATGTAATTTAAAAAAATTACGTACAGACCACAGACAGAAATGCACAGATGCCAACTATTTTAAATTTTTTGTAATAATGAATTATTTTTAATTACCATTTTACAGTAATTTGTGGGGTGAATAATTATATTTTTAATTATATTGATATTATTAATGATTTATAATAAATATTTTAAAATGGTTTGCTTTCTGATTTTAGATCAACATAGATGAGTACACAGGGGAGGAGAATGAGGAGAAGAACCCATATCCTGTGAACGATTTCCCAGGTGTGTTAAGAGAATGTGCTAAAAAAAGACTGTTTTTTCGTTAAAAAACTGAAGAAAGAGTCTACAGTCGAGTCTAGCAATTCTACAGAAGAGCCCAGGCCTGTTTTATTCAGCTCTGGGAGCACTCTATGTGAACTGTTTTTCGGTTGAGCGAAGGCGTCTTTCTCTTTACTCTTGCTGATTTCCCCCAAGTTCAACACATTTCCTGGTCCATGTCATCTTCACTTTTTTTTTTACAGTAATGCAAAGACGTGTGTGGAACTGTTGAGAGATGATGTGTCTGATGCACTTCGTGGAATTCTTTCCAAAAAATCTCTCTTGCTTGTTCTTTTCAGCAGCAGCGGAGGACGATGAGGAGCCAGAGATGCCAGTAGGTCCTCGTCCACGTCCACTCTCCGACATTCAGCTGAAGGAGAAAGCTGTCCCCATGCCAGAAGCCAGAGCTTTCTTTATTTTCAGCCCCGATAACAAGTATGAAAACCACATATATACTTAAAGACCTCGATTTTCACATCAGTGGGTTATGTTACTTAGTAGTTATTCAAAATCCAAACCCAAAAGTGTCTCTCAAACCCATTTTTTCTGCTCTCTCTCTTCTGTAGGTTCAGGGTTTTGTGTCATAAGATTGTAAACCACAACATCTTCACCAATTTAATCCTGTTCTTTATACTGCTGAGCAGTATTTCACTGGCAGCGGAGGACCCAGTGAATAATGACTCATTCAGGAATCAGGTACACACAAACACACACTGACATGTACATCACATTTGTAGCGCTGCTGTTATGAGGCTTTGATATGTGCGCCTCTCTTTTTCTCTGCTAGATTCTAGGCTATGCAGATTATGTGTTTACAGGAATCTTCACCATAGAGATCATACTGAAGGTAAATTTACATTTTAAAGGTAAAAGTGTCCCAGTTCATTTCATGCTAATCTTTCCTACTACAGCCTTCTCCATGTTTCTTCCATACTCATCTAATTCCTCACTGACTCTCCATTTGTCCGCTCTTCCTCTCAGATGACAACGTATGGAGCATTCCTACATAAGGGTTCATTTTGTCGGAATTATTTTAATATTTTGGATCTGGTGGTGGTCAGTGTGTCTCTGATCTCCTCTGGAGTTCAGTAAGTACCTTTTTCCAAACTAACTGACAAACTAACCAGGATTACTGCTTCTCATGTCACAAATAACATATTCAATGTAACGCTTTTTAATACCAATGTCCAATTAAATGCTATTTGTGTCTGGCCAATTCAGTGTTGTTATTGTTAACTAAAAGTAAAACTATTCAAAAATATTTTTGGTAATTGAAATGTATCTGAAATAAAGTAAATTATAAATATTAGATGGAAAAACTTTAATGAAAATTTTGAAACATTGCCTTGGCAACTAACTGAAATAAATGTAAAACGTTGAAGTTGAAGTATTAAAATAAAAAATGATAAAAAAAAACATTATTTAGAATTTTTTTAATAATTGTAACAAATTATCTTATAAAGCACATAACAAACTGACTAAAACTTAAACTAAAATGAACATGAAAAAATTCACTAAAAATATTACTAAATACTATAATAGTATATAAAGAATACTCAAGATGCTGTCTGTATGTATGTATATATTCATATTCTTCTGATTATTGTTTAATTATTATAATAAAATAGAAATATAATAAAAATTCATTTAGCCTTTGGCGCCAATGTAGAATTTTTTTGATTGCATTATTACTTAATCTATTAACAGAGTTGAACGGGGAAATGCATTTACCTCCTAATACCTCCTCTGCTGTCCAGGGGCATCTGCTTCTCTGTATAGTGTTTTGTTTAGGTCACATGATCAGTAATTAGCCATTCTGATTGGAGGAGCTGAACTGTACTGTGATTCACAGGTCAAGTGCCATTAATGTAGTGAAGATTCTCAGAGTGCTGAGGGTGTTGAGGCCCCTGAGAGCAATCAACAGAGCCAAGGGCCTCAAAGTGAGTCTCTCTCTTTTACAAAAAAAAAACAAAAAACTGTTCAGATGACTCTAGCCTACACTTTCCATATAGTGTGATGGATGCGCTGAGCATTTATTTTAACTGAGAGCTTTGTTTGTATCCACAGCATGTGGTCCAGTGTGTGTTTGTAGCCATCCGTACCATCGGGAACATCGTTATCGTCACCACTTTGCTGCAGTTCATGTTTGCCTGTATTGGTGTTCAACTTTTCAAGGTAATTTGTGCTTTCTCACAACACGTACTTCTGTAAAAGAGCAAAACAGTGAAAGGTTTATATATTATTGCTGAAAATCTAGTTCTCTACAGAGAAAATGAATGGGATTTTAGTCCGGTTCTGTTGTATGTGCTGTTGGGATTTTTTTGTGTTGTAAAATGTTCATGTGTGAGAACTGATGTTTGTTTTCTAGGGCAAATTCTTCTACTGCACAGACACCTCTAAACAGACACAGTCCGAATGCAGGTAACATCCCTTTTCTTTGAGCACAAATTTTACAGTAACATTTACATTAAAAAACAGCTCATTCATATGTATATGTGTGCACTGTGTGTGTGTATTACAGGGGGTCCTATATATTATTCAAAGATGGGAATGTTGGGAAGCCAGTGAAATCACAGCGTTCATGGGAGAACAGTGACTTCAACTTTGATGATGTCCTGCAGGGCATGATGGCTCTGTTTGCCGTGTCCACTTTTGAGGGTTGGCCAGGGTGCGATACACAAACACACTCAAACTTGCTCACACACATACTTCTTCTTCACACATAATTCTTAAATATACAGTATTTCAATCATGACAACTCTCTGAAGATTTTAGCATGGTGATGGATATGACAATGTTAATGTATTTGGTCTTGGCGGAATAGATCTGCTACGCTGCTGCTGAATTGCTGCTGCTGTTGGTTATTGCTGTAGTTGTAGATTATTGCTGCTGCTGCTGCTGCAAGCAAGTACAGGAACTTGCTACTGCCAATGCATATGGCGATACGGTGCCATGAGTATTTAAGACATACTGCTGCTGCACAAATAGCATATAAAATAACCCGTAGCAGATCTATACAGGTGGAGCTGGGGAAGGTGGAGGGTTTCAGAGAACTCTGAAAGCACGCTGCAGGAATCTCTAGTGAATGCTAGCCAGCCATATAAATGCAAGGCAGTAAGCTCATTGGCTGCATATGCAGCATGAACCAATCAGCTTGTGACAAGTCGTTTAACTCTCTGAATATCATCAGTTACGTTAACACCCCGTCAGAGTTTCATGACTGAAATATATATATATATATATATATATATATATATGGGGGGGGGGGGGCAAAAAAGGTTTTTCGGCACC